CGGGAATGAATCTGAATTTTGTTTTTCTTTGGATATATGTATAGTTACAACAAATGTTGATACAAAATTCTGTAACATCTACCGACTAGTTGATACAAAATATTTGCAATTGATTTCGGAAAAATTTTATTTAATAGTGAGACCTAACTGAATGATCAAATAAGAAAGAGTTCGAAAAGATCTTTATAAAATCAAAAAAAAAAAACCATTTCATAGCAAGAAAAATTCAGGGAATTTTTCCTTCGATTTGATTCAATTGGAAATTTCCTGAATTTGGAAGGTCATTTCTAAATTGCGAATCAAGATTGATTTTGATTAGGTGTTTATCTGATCATGAAAATAAATTATAGCGATTAATCATAAGGGTGATTAGAATCGACTTCACACTCTACACCAATTTATTGAAATAATAGACCAGTTCCAATTTTTTTTTGAACCAGTTATCTACTTTGCGAAATCAAAACAACGGCTGCATTATTAAAGAAAATTAAGAAAAAGTGTAAAACAAATTTTCTTGATTTCAGAATGTCAATTTAATTGAAATCGTTTAACCGAATGGAATTATCTGTTTATTCATATAATCAGCGTTGAAAGATATATTATATCTGGAAAGTGAATGAAAAAAAAAATTCAATTTAAAAAAAAAATATGCTAAAAATTGTTTATTTCGTTTTTGTTTTTGCGCAATTTTTCGATTTATATCTCGTACATTCATTTGGTATGAAAATCGAAAAAGAATGAGGGAAAGATAGACAGCGCTGAAATGCTTTCGATTGCATGTATTCGCATCGAATTCGTTTTCGCTGCATGTTTGGGTCTCGTGCTGAGTCAGGCCGATCCAAAGTGTACTTCACGTGAATATTTTGATGACAAATTGTAATTACACAATATCGTTGTGAATTTCAAGTACGAAAAACGATACCGTGATAACACATACGTATGATATACACAACTACATAGATAGCGAACACAATCGCTTCAACGCGATTTTGCGAACGACCGACAGATGGCGCGACATTGTCAAATTGAAGCCCTTAATTGTCAAAAGCTTGACCATTCAATGCTTTTAGTATGCGGTTAAATTGAAACAAGTTTTGGAATCGCTTTTGAGAATTTGACAAGTTTAAAAAAATATTGCCTGAAGTTATGTTACAGATTGCAGTATAAAATGTTATAAATTCGTTTAATTTTGTCGATGAATAGTTTGCCAAAGCTCAGAAAGTCCAATTTTATCCTGTCAAGTCCACTTGATATCAAACGAGGAGCATAAGCTCAGAAGTGATTAATAAAATCAATTTTATAAAAGTTTCTTTTTGGCTGTGCATGTTTTTTTTCTCAATCAATATTTTATTGTGACTAAATTTTCATTTTCTTCAAACGACACATTTTTAGCAAAGATCAAAGAAATCACAAACTTGAAAGTCATTTATAAAAATGAATCAACCGAGCAAAAGCTTTTGTCGACCTCATAACAAATCCTACTAATAAATCATTTTTCGTTGTAAAGACACATGAATGTCGGCATGGCTTATTGCAAAAAAAACGGCAATTGTTAAAAATGCATTGTATTTTGATCGTTATATCAAAGTTACAGATATGATGCAATTTTACTTAAAATAATAGACAGTGTGAATGTAAGGTGTTCTATCGAAGAGTTCATCTAAATGAAAGGAGATTCATACAATGACAACAATCGGCCACTGTTACTCCATAGAGATCAGAATCGCATTTTTGCCATTCTATGAAATGTAGCGGTAGTACTAGCCATCATTCAACAATATTCAATCAATAACTAATTTAGAAATTAAAATTCATTTTTATTAGAAATTAGTGTAAGGCAACTTGTGAGTTCACTAGGCTTTGAATTTCAAACAACAATGTTTGTAGTGTGGCCCCTGTTGTACACTGAGATTAAGTTAGAATAAAAAAATATTAATTAATTTTCAAAGCAACCAAATCAATCGAATTTCCGAAACGTTGCATTAGCAAACAATGAAAATATAAGGTGCTCTTTAATCAAAATTATTTTGCATTAATAACACAATTTTAATTAAAGAACACCTTGTTATATATTTCCACTGTTTGTTAATACCGTTTTTATAAATAGTGTTTTATTTTCTCTCATTCACAACGAAAACGTTGTTAACTTATTTGACCCATTTTGACTATATTTCGTACGTGCATCATTGCAGAATTTAGTAATTAATTTTTCTAGAATAAATTTCGACTAAATGATTGAGATTATGTGACTAAATCGCCAAAGTTGATGTAATTCACGTACAAAAACCAGTAAAAATATCGCAAGTAGGTCTGTACACAATATTTTTTTGCTATAATTACAGCTGTGTAAATCAAAATTTGAACACCACACAAATCCAAAATGAAACAGATTGAAAATCAATTCTGATTCTATTTCTTTCATGTTCGAAATGTTGGCAAGCATGCAAATTCTGGAAAAAATACAGCAAATTTCTCCAATCCAATGGACTTGCTCAAGAAAGCCACGCATGAACTGAGGACGATACCAGGTAAGGAATATTTAACGAAAGAACTCGAATCATTCTACGGAAAACCAGGTGGATAAATTGGATAAATATTTTGTTGGAATGTAAGTAAAACCAATCAATATATTCTTTCAATAATAAAAACTTGACTAATTCGTTCTTTTTTCCAATAGATTCGGCTATTAAAATAATCAAAAACACTGTTTTCTGTCATAAAGATCTATCGAATAAAAGCTTTGGGGTAAATATCGCAAGTACTTGCGAATGCATATTGCACTTGATTTTCTTTCAAAAAAATAGATAACACAATAAGTGAATGACTTTCGTTTCCTTTTTATAATAGGTACGAACAAAAGAATGAAAAAATATATATAATTTAAAGTGGTAATCCGACAAGAACGCACACACACACACAACCGCCCATTCAATTCAACAAGTGTATTCAATTTGAGTATTATCATGTTCACTTCACGTATTTAATTCAATTCATCTTTTATAGTCGTAATTGTTTAAGCGTTCTCAGAAGCGATATTTTACGTCTTAATTTTGCTCCAAATACGGTTCACTTTATGCTTATAGCGTTTTGTATTTCGTGCCTTTGATTGTGGCCTGTGCGTGTTTTTCGTATACAGTTTTCATTTATCGAATTAAAATTTGAATTATGCAAATACCATTGTGTATAGATAAACATGACTTATATATATAATATATTTTTGAGTACGATCTCAAGATCATTTTTTCTCTGCGGTAAACTTTCTCAAGTTTGTATTTATTACAAATTAGATTTCTATTCGAAATGGATTTGTACATAGATCGCTAATTTACCGTCGCATTTCAGTTAATTTTAAATCAATCCGAAGGACAACATTGCGGCTTATTCAATACTTTTATAATTCAGTTAGATTAGTTGTATTGATGTACGCGTTAACACACACATTCACTTTTGGCGGCTCAAACTCGGTCACTTTTTCATCTATGAGTAATTTGATGTTGATTTCTTGGAAACGATCATTAGCTTTTGCCAGCAAAATATATTAATGAAAGTGAGTAAGCTTCTTAAGTAAGATTGACATCCACCAAATTTGGAAACTATCCACTTAACATATATTAACCCCAAAACTAAGTCAACACGAAGGTATTTGTAAAAACTCGATGGGAAGAGGCAGTGTTTGTTATTCCAAAAGCAAAAAAAGAGATCGTGTCATTGAGTCAACGAGGAATTATCCACACAAAGTGTACTTTGGACAATCGCTAATTTTTATCTCCTTTTCAATGGACATCAAGGGGAAAAGTACTAGCCTAATTTTATATCAGACGAACAATTCCATAGAAAATTTAAGATAATTCAATCAAATTCGAAAGCGAGCTGCAAGTGTTAAATAATGAGATCGTATTAGGCAAAAATATACAATTGAATTGACCCACTTATTCCAAATGCAATCATTTCACGAAATTATTTTTTCCGTCTTCGAAACTATTTCGCATTTACTCATTCAACTCCAAACAAGATATTGTGGCTTCTTTTGTTATAATTCGATAGCTTTTTGAGAAAAAAAAAATAATTATTCAGTTACTATTTTTTGGATTTTTTATCGGTTTGCAAAGAAATTTGCCATTTTTCTTGTAAGTGCAACTCTGTCTTATATTCAGCAGCGGCACTTAAGAAATTATATGGAATAAATGCGGGTAGTGAGTGGCTGTGTCAGTTGTTTTCTCCTCAATTTGGTAAGATTTGTGTGCGTCAGCTATTTAACAAAAAAATTAGCACGAACGCTTCTTCTGTGGCCAGAATTTGAAAAACAAATTTTTCCATTAAATTCGGCGATTATTTATGAGCAGATAAACTGATATTTGGTCCCGATGAATTTTTTTTTCAACGAATATTTATCTAGTCTTAACGATGATCTATAAATTAAATATTTTTACAACCTTAACAAACTATGATAGATCGATTCAAACATATTGCTTGAATTCGTTGAATTCGATAGATATAGATTTGTTGTTAAACAAGAAAACCGCATAAATTGGCAGCAGACAACCGCATAAATTGGCTGATATTAAGTCGCAATAATTTTTAACGAATGTTTAGTCTTAACGATCATCTAAAAACTAGATGTTTTGTTTTGTTATGGTTTAAATCCTCCAACAGTCGAAACAGAAAAATCGGACCTTCCATAAAATTTCTAACATTAATAACTGCCAATAATAAGTATAAAGCTTAAAGCTAAATACCAAAATATATTAAAAACTGAAATAGCATTTGAGAAAAATCTGCCTGAAGGCGCTCTTAGTCGGTAGAGGGTTAAAAAAACTAAGATATTTAAAGATCAATTCCAACATTCTTTGATAGATTGTTCTCATTTGACTGCATAAATTGGTTTTGGTCGATATAACAAAAATTCCAAATACATTTCAAATAAACTTAAAAAAAAACCAAAAGATTCCATCGAATCTCTTTCGGGACGATCAAAAAATAAAAAGATAAAAAAAACTTACCGTCAGGCTTGTGATTATTTGTTTGTTCGATTGACTCGGTTTGTTTCTCGTCGCTTATCATCTCTTTGGGTTTTGTTATCGTCATTTTGGCTTCTTAATTAATTAAAATATATGTGTGTAAATGTGTTGGATTTGAATTTGAGGAATTTGCGTGCGGCCGAAATTAGCGCAAATAAAAAATTGATTATTTTCTGGAGTTTGTTCTATTAATATCACTTATATCACAGTGTTTTTGTTTTGTTTCTGCTATTGTAATTCTCTATTTTCAAATCTGTAACTGTATAATGGTAATATCGCGACTATGATCGGAATATGGAGAATTTCGCCTTTAAATTGTATCGTTTATTGCTTGTGTGCTTCTATTTTATAATACTGATTCATCGACGACTTAGAAGTGCTCTGTCGGTTAATTTGTTGCTGTTTATGTGTTAAATTCTATTGACAGCAATAATGATATTTGTTCGGTCATGTCGTCTTCGATTGAATGCTGTTCACTCTTCTCGGCAATTCAACGTTGAGTTCTGCAAAGAAAATATGAAAAAAAGAGAAGAAGAAGAAGGTGTTTTCGTTAATTTTTGTTGTTTGCTCATATTTTAACACGATTAAATTTATGAATAATAAATGTCAATATCATGATGTGTATGTGTTCGCGCGACATCCAATTTACGGCTTTCGGAAATTGACTTTTACCTTAAGGCTATTTTCGAGTCATTCGACTTAAAATGATTCTAAAGTCAGACACAATCTCTCTGTGTTTCTTTTTTCGTGAAATATTTTTTTTTTTCTCTCATCATCTGTGAAAATTGCATTGCACGAATGTAATGCAATATTTCATTGAGTCGCAAATCAAATGCCAAGTTAATTTTTCACTTCCAATGATTTGGAGGTCAGACGTGCGCTCATGCGCTTGCTTCTGAATGCAGTCGAAAATCTCACTATCTGAAAACTCACTGAGGTAAGCGCATTAAGCGCCGCTAAAAGTGAATACACACAGAGAAGAGAAGAGAAAAAAATGCCACTGATTCAATCTGATCGTTTTCATTTTTATTCTCTTCTGTTGAATTTTCTCTCACAATGGTTTCCCGTTGCATTTGTTTGGTTCGTGAACAGCGGTTGTTCGATCAATTATATTATGATTATCAGCGCACTTTTAGCGTAATTCATCTTTTCTGTCTGTTTTCATTCGATCTGTCTTTCTTTCTCTTACTTGTGCACAGTAGGTGTGTATCAATGTGTCAAAATGCGCGAATGACGTGGGAAACGGTTTTTAATTGAAACGACTAAATTTGCCATAGCGAAAAAAAAAATTAAATGTTTTCACGATGCAATTCGTAGATTAAAATGCAAGGCTACCACTTCCGAAGAGTTTAGGAAATTGTTTATGTTTTTAGTACAAAATGTGCGAAATTGAATGCAATCACAAAAATAGAATATAATAGACCAAACTGAAATGCAAACAATTGTTATTGTTGGGTATTGTTTGCAATTATATTGTGATAAGTATCTTGCAAAATGAACGAGATAAAAATATGCGGCATTAATTATTTAAATCGAATAGTTGTCATTTCTACGCGGCAACGTGCCGTATACACTGTATAACTAAAGATCAAGTTTATTGTTTCAAGGTTGATCAACTGATGATTTTCTTTACTTTCGTTTATATTTCGATTTCACACATTGAAATGCAATTTTTCTTATATTATTATTTTTTTTTTTTTGTGAAAACGCATTAAATACCTTTATGAAACTCGTTTCATTTTAATGGATATCACATATTTGTTAAGGTATGATAAATATTTACGACAAAAGGTGATGACGACGACGACGATGATAACAATATAAAAAAAAGCCGATTTCATCACATTTACGATCACTCATAAATTACGGTACATTTCATTATTTGCTTCGGACTGTGGGTGTGCAATATTCAACACATACCCACACAAAAAAATGCATGTTCAACACATGCACATATGACATTTATCAAAGATAATAAAATTAAAGCGCATCAAGAGGATTGCAAATTTAAAATTGGCATTAAAGTCAAATTATTTTCCATTCCGTTCCATGATATGATCACGTGCCACAATTTTGCTTCTCTTGCCCATTTCTCAACATATCTACGTCCAAAAAGTCGATAAAATTCGTTCTGCATACGTAGCTGATGCCGATTTTGTATTTTATTGTTGTTGCTTTTTACATGCGTAATTCGTATCTTTCTGAAATCTCAGCTACGACATCAACTGTTGACGAATTGCTGTCATTCAGCTGTTTATCCATCACACAATATGACACACACACTGACACATAAACATTAAAAAAGTTTCATTAAAAAAAAAAACAATATTCGATCAGAAGTTGATCCGTTAACAAGATGTGTGAGACAGTGAATGAACGAGACGACAACGAAAAAAAATTGGTTCAAATGGCCAATACAATTATGTAAATTACTTAATAAATGTACGCTTTGAACCGGCAAGTGTTCGTGTGTTTGGTTATTCGGTTGTTTCCTTCGAAAATTAGCACGCAATTTTCAATTTAGGTCTAAATTTTTTGCTTCCGCTTATAATAATACTTCCGAAATAATGAATGGAGACTGAACAGGATCATTTGACGCACTTGTTCCATGATTGACATTATGTAGTGCTGTTGTTCGCTTTTTTTCTCTTTCTCTCTCTCTCACACCCTCTGTGTGCATATTTTCTTACTGTATGTCGACGACACAGCAGCATATATTTAATTTTGAATAATTTAATTGAGGACACATCGACTTGAACAACACATTCACACATTGACAAATGATTTGTACTAGCTCATTGGCCACTTTAAATAATGGTATTTGAGCACTGCGAATATCCAAATGAATTGAAAATAGCTATTGTGTCATCTTCATGCTGAACTAATTCCTATTATGTGCCTAAAATACAAAGTACAAAAGGCTTTGTCGTTGACTTTTTGATTCAGATTATGTGTCTAGTTTTTTTGTTCAATCGCAACATTTTTTTCAATTGGATCAATGTACGTAACAAGGCAAACACAATTTTGAATAATTTATTTTATCAGTGGCGGTGTTGAGTGGCGCGAAAAAAATTGTTTTGCTAAAATATTGATAAATAAGCATCAAAATGGTATATCTGATTTTAGAACAATTGAGATTTTATCTTACTTTGCTTTGGAATTTATGTTGTTTTGGAATTTTTCGGAACACAAAAAAACACACACACACACATACACAGAGATAGAGCTAGAGACCAATGACAATCAAAATTTTATTGCACCTTCAAACAGTCGAGTAATAAACTGTGATTAGCTATTTTGAGTAAATCCGTTAAATGAAAAAAGATACACGTATAAAATGACATGGTGTGCTTAAGCCGAACTAAAAATGGATTTTGTCGATTCATTTCAAACAAATTATCCCACTTAAACATGAATAAACAATAGATAAAATGATAATCAAAAATGCATACAGAGTATGAGTTAAAAAAACATTGGACTTGTTTTTTTGGTTGCATACACCATGCATATAACATCCAACGATACATGTTTTGTTTTTTGAAACAATAAAAGAAAACAAACATACTGTTTACACTGGTTGCAAGGTGGTAAATGGTATTGACCGAACACCTTTAACCATATCACCAATACACACAAATGGGCAAAACGAACCAAAAAAACCTAAAATTGTTGTATTTTACGTCAATCTGAAAATATTCAGATATTAATAACCCCTCCAAAAAAATACGCAAAAAATATTCATACACTCAATTAAATTCAATAGCCATAGAAAGTGGCTAAAATGTGCGAACTTTGATATGGGTCTTGACAGGTGCGAAGAGGTGTCTCTTGAATAGGAACTAAAAATAAAAATTTTTACAAAACAACAGCCAAAACAATAATATCATGTCAATTTTTAGTTCCGAATCAATGTTGAACGTGTGTATATTTTTGGTATTATCCGAACGAACGCGCATGTCTGACTCAAAACACGTACTTGTTTATACCGATGATATATGATAAATCTTTTTTTATAATTGTGATCAAGTGATTATTGTGTGTGGCGCGTCATTATTTTCATTCCGGATATTTTTTTTTAAATTTAATTAAACGCATGCTAATCATGTATTTCTGTCATAATTATGTTTACTCATGCTGCCATACCGTTTGGCTGTTTTGGATTCTCAGCATTATATTTGACTGCGTAATGAATATTCATGGCGTTCTTTTCAAAAAAAAAAAAATCTGAATTGTTTACTACAATATTATTGTTATCATTGGCAATGTTGTTGTTTTTTAAGTCGTCAACATAATTTGGTATCTCTTTATCGAAAATGGTATTGCCAGTTTTCGATCTGGTTTTTTATTGCTTATAAGTTTTTGTCGGTTGTCTCTTCAATTCAAAATGAAATCGTCTCTTCCGTATCGCCACACAGAAAATATTTTGTTTACGTGCAATTCGAACAATCCAACAGTGCTTCGAGTTGATTTAATGTAATTTAAAATTAAAAAAAGAGCAATGGCTAGAGAGGCGTTGAGCATAGAGAGAGAAGCTTGAAAGACCACAACAACTACATAAAATGACCCAAAAAAGCACGTTTACACACTTACGATACACAAAATGGTATTTAGTGAGGTGTGTTTTCTCTCTCTATCCCTCTCTCTTTCTCTTCAATTAATATATATTCTACAAGAGACTTCTGATATTGAAATGTATGTTATGAAGGTGAACGTCTATGACAATTGCACCTTCAGCGAAAGAGCGTGAGCGCACATACACACACACATGCCGTACAACGAATCATATGTCTCGTACTGTAACATATGTTGTTTGTATATACGTTTATGCTGTACTTGCATAAATATTTATGCATATCGCACGATATGACTATGTATATAGTGGTATCATCAGCGAAAAAAAAAATGTATTCATATTATGGTGCATTTTCAATAAGGAAAATGCAACTTGTAAATGTCATCCTCATTGTGAACTGCGTAAGCAAAATGTGCATGGCAATATTGCGCTAGACTATTTGGCGCCCGTTTCGATTAATATTTTCATTGGAATGTATATTTATACAGCGAACGACAGTGTGAAACACAACACGGCTGGCTGGTTCGGTTATCGTTTTCACAATCGATCTATATTATTAGAAATGAAGACTATTTTTTTTCCTTCATTCAAATCATCCAACAACAACAAAAAAAAAACAAGTATATCACTTCTATGAACCGGTATCCAATCAAAACATGTTTCATGAAATATCTTTCCACAAATATGTGCGGTTTGCAAATTTGTGTCAAGTTATTTGCACGTGTTATTATTATCAAATTCTTAAAATAATATTTTTTTCTTCCAAATATCTCTTTTTTTTAGTTTTGCAACCATTTTTTGGGTTTTGCTATTTATTTTTAGAAAATCAGCCTATGTGTCCTGTTATTTCCCTTACGTGTGTACAATCCGGTTTTGTGTGAGCACAAAATTAATGAAACGATCATTGCTTTGTTTATCCAACAGGGCCAA